TATGCAGACTCAATGTGCATGGTATGTGCGTATGGATAAATGAATATATACGCACGTCGGGGCGGATATATGTATGTGCTAGTAGTGCGATTGTGTAGGTAGCTCAATAGTCGTATCTCCACCTGATGCCGCCGCTTTCATCAACGAAATCAAATTAAATTCGGGAGTGAACATGTAACAGGACTAGAGAACCAGAACAATTTTGGCAGCTTTTTAGTACGCGTCGACTCCTAAGGATTTTCTGGAACAATTGTACCCGCTCGCGCCTGCTCGTTTTTTACCACACATGTCTGGTGGCATTCTACGAAGTAAGTATCTGTTTTCTTCTCCTTACTCCTCATTATTGATTCTGATTTGCTATGGACTATTGGAAGACAGTTTCCCAGATTTTAGTTGGCTCCTAGTCTAAAGGTACCATATAGCAAAGGCTTCTTATGGCATCGACTACCACAAAATTGATGTAGAAGGTCAAGAGGACTTCGGTGGCTTATACAGCATTATAAGGGGGTCATATTACTAGAACCCCTCCAAAACAAACCATGTACAATTTCCATGCCAGCCCTCTCTCCTATGGTATCGCCCTCGCAGAGTCAGAAAGTGCGGTGATTTGCTTATGTTGTCATATCTCGTTCTCGGCCCAAAGCTCCAAGTTTCGCGAGTGATCAGGTGGCCACCTTTTGGGTTGTTCGGGAAAGTGACATACGCTATACATACAAACAATTTAATAACTATCACGCAACACACAAATCAACTATACACACAAACAATTAAATAATTATCATACAACACACATATCAACTATACACACAAACAATTTAATAACTATCATGCAACACACATATCAACTATACACACAAACAATTTAAAAATTATCATGCAACACGCATATCAAGCCAAGGGGCCTTGCGCTATCGCGCAGAGCGGCCGTCGTTTGTCTGTGTGCCCCCCTCTCTCGAAATCGGTACTCAGAACCAATAGCACCCTAGGACAATTGGGGGGAAGGGGTGGAGCGGCTGAAGAGCTGAAATGCCGACTCAGTCAAGCCACCTCCTGTTCTCTCACAGTATGTGCCCTGGCCTGTCCCAAATCGTGCTGGAAGAATCAAAAGAGACATATGGGTAGTATAATATACCGCTATTCTTTGTCACTAGACGATTCACGCTCAACAATAGGCGAGATACGTACTGGACCCCAAATGCCAAAGGAGAGTCGGCCTAACCAGTCTAGCCGCGACTGTAACCGCCCTATGTAAACATTGATGGTCGGTAGTGAAATTACACTACAGTACTCTAAATGGGTTAAAAAGATAAAATATCGAATCTGCGGAGGAGCGGGTCGTAGATTAATGCAAAGCGACGCGATATGATATATATGCGATGGACGGCGCGTATATAATCATTTTGATACTACCTATACGTAATCACTTACAGAATTCAATTTGTAAACATCCTGGTAAATGTTATACATTTTTTTATTTTCGTTTCAATCATTTTTTTCGTCGCCATTACTGACCTTAAATAAGTTACGATTTCCGCTAGTTTTTCCTTCGATTCCTCGTCTGTGACGTTCTTTAACTGCCACTCCTTCACTACATTGCCCTCTCGATCACACACGAGTATCTGAAACATGCCGTCCTGCACAGTATGGTGTTCGTTGTTTAGATAACCGGCATGGGAATCGGTGATATAGCCGTATTGTACATGTTATATTGGGTACAAGTCGTATTGCAGTAGTAGATCTGGTTCAACCTGAGATTAGTAACGAATTGATATTTACAACTAATCAGGTGAACACGACGAATGCCTGCTGCAATACAACGATTGCTTGCTTGTATTCCGATCCTCCACGTGACAACGTATCAGGAAAACTATGATAATCTGATAGTTCGGAACTAAAAATAGTTCATTGCGTGCCTCATATATACACATACCTGAGTGTTAGCCTTCTTTTTCGCGTACCCTTCCCAATCCAAGAGCAGTGGTTTGCGGGGATCTGGTTAGCCTAGAAATGGCATAACTATACTTCGAAACAATCGCGGCACTGGTTTAGAGTGTGGAGAATAAAGTGGGGCGAATATAAACAAGGCTGTTAGAAGGCTTGGAAGGTGCATAGGAAGTAAATGCAGTAAGATATGACTATATGGTCTATTTACTGTGGTATGTGGCGATTCGGTATACCCCGATACAACGAACGCAGATTCTCATTATCGCACTGGCTGGGCCGTAAGGTCAATAAGCATTTAAACCATCGAAAGTGTATCGAAAATGTATTCATATAAAACGATGTCTGTAAGATGGCTATATACAGCATGCCGGTAGTAGTGAGTAGTGTCACACCGCAGCTATGGAATGGGAAAGGTAAAACATCAAGTGATACAGCCACTACAGGCATTGGGCAGGTTGGCTACGCCAATACTGTTCATGTAGTTGCTGTCGATGTTGGCATACATGAAGGTTCGACGCACTCCTTGTCATTGCTAGATACGTTTTGCATCTTACTAATGTCAACATATGAACGAAACTATGCTACAAACAGAAAGCACAGTCATACAAGTGCCAGACAAGGTACTCGATAGCCGATTTTCTGTATTGGTAAGCATGTACTGAGAACACACACTATATATATCATTGAACTCAATTCCATTGTAGACGTGCTTATGACCTATTACAAACAGGAGTGCGGCATTATATATTTACTGTAATGAATCCAATTTCGATATTCGATATATTGTGACATAAAGAAAGGATTATTACAAATATTTTCACTAACAAATCGATATATTGGAGGCTGACATAAAAAGGTAAAGTTGCCAATCATAGATACATACTCAAGCAATCCAAACTGACCAACTACTCAACGCATATCCACTCAGATTTTTAGGAGCATCATGGGAGCATGAGAAAGTGGAGCACTAGCAAATGATAGTACAAGTTACTCAAACAAAATCAGCCGTTGTTCAAATAGATATGTATTGTCTACATACTATAATCATACACGCTAATATACATATCAGCAAATATCTCCGTGCTCAACAAAATGACTCACATGCACCTATGCCGCACACGGACGACGATATTCCAACGCGGTATTAAGAACTACTATTACGACATCAAAAACTCCCACTATACCTGCAGTTAAATTTGCTACACCAATCACTTTATAAACTTTCGCTGCCCACTCATAGCTTCCCATCTGCGGATAACAAACAGATTGAGACCGAGAGTATGGCATTAAGAGAAACGGCCACTCAACAGCCACGTATAGAAATATTAAGACAACTTCGGGACCAAAGAGAGGGACTTTTGACATCTAGGGTATACGAAATACTATCATTGAACTGCGAAAGCACAACAAACCCCGATCAACGAGACAGATATATATACATATATATACATATATATATATATATATATATATATATATATATATATATATATATATATATATATATATATATATATATATATATATATAGTGTAGTGTAGTAGTGTGTGTGTGTGTGTGTGTTGTAGTGT